ATTTATTATTAAATAATTATATTAATTAACGTAATTAGATTATCCATGAACTAACTGATTTCAATGACTTTGCAATATGTCCTCAAGAACTAAGTTTATTTCTTCACTAAAAAAATGTTCAATTTTCTTTTAAATGATAGAAATGAAGATATTTAGAAGGTGGAACTATTATACAGAATGAGTCACGTAAATTGCACATCTCAAATAACTAAATACATGAACATCTCAATATTTAAATATTTAAATTAAATATCTTTGAATTAGTTAATAATTGACATGCTACCGTTTGTCACCTTTCAACCTGTATACCACACAAATTACATGAAAAATATTTTTAATTTAGAGAAATTAGCAATTAGAGAAGGTGTTTGGGTGGCATCTATTTAGCTGAGACACTGCGTATGATCAACATTAATATACTTTGCGCAATCGGCATTGTAGAATAGGAATGATAATAATAAAATATTCCACAAACAGGGCAATAAAATATATTGAAAAATCTTTAGCATGTTATCTCGGAATTTATGTGTAGAAAGTTACTCGGTGCGTCGACCTCTACGTATGTACATAACGAATTTCTCAAAGTCATTAAAATTGGTTAGATTATGTCTAATCTAGATAATAATATTATTACGTAAATAATAGAAACATTTATAGACCACAGACACTTACGCAAAATAAACGTTCTCCAATTCAATTCTAAGGAATAGAAAGAGACTTTGAATAACTTTGATAAATCGAAAATAGGAATAATATTATGAAATTGTTCTGACGTCTCCATAGTGTTTTGTACTTTATCTACTCATTGTTACCATAACTACATAAAATTCAGTATTCAGGTATCTGTATTTTGCAGACTACGTTTATTATCGTTTTCATTAACATTATTCATATTTGCAACAGAGGATAACACTCTTATTTCATAAATTGTCAGTTTTACTCAGTGTTGTCATTCTAGATTTTTTAAAATATATAGGGGGTGCTAAAAGTTTGTAGAATTCTGTAGATTTCCTTTTGAAAACTTCGCAGATCTACGGACTGTTTATGGTATATATATACAAATACAGGGTAAGTCACAAATTAGGCCCCACGATTTTTCACCCCCTCCGACAAAATAATGTTCTTTATCAAAGTTAATTAGTATTTAACCGACAAGAAATTGCAATTGCTTAAATTTAAAAACAATTAGCTTAAAATTCATAGGTCCTTAGGTTCTGTAAAAAATCCATAGATCTACGAAAAAATGTTAATTAGAATTAACAAAACACTATTGCTATTTTACAGAAGGATTTCTGCAACAAATGACTTTCTATCAACATAAATTTGCATAAACATCCGTGGTCTGTTGTAATACGTTTCGGCTGCGTCGACTCACTTTAAATGGGAATTTCACAGTTTCTTTGGACTCCTCGTACAAGCTGGGCAAGCTGGTTGTCATGGCGCTGTCGAATCTCCCGTTTTCGTCAACGACGTAAACCAATATCGACGGCATATCTGATGGCGTCGGCGTAGGGTTGGAAACCTCCGGACATGGAGGCTGCCGATGGATCATAATTTGCTTATTAGAAACCGACCTGCAACATGAGAGGCGAGGATATGTTACTGCCGGCGAACCATCTCGCTGCGATGCCAAANACTTTGATAAATCGAAAATAGGAATAATATTATGAAATTGTTCTGACGTCTCCATAGTGTTTTGTACTTTATCTACTCATTGTTACCATAACTACATAAAATTCAGTATTCAGGTATCTGTATTTTGCAGACTACGTTTATTATCGTTTTCATTAACATTATTCATATTTGCAACAGAGGATAACACTCTTATTTCATAAATTGTCAGTTTTACTCAGTGTTGTCATTCTAGATTTTTTAAAATATATAGGGGGTGCTAAAAGTTTGTAGAATTCTGTAGATTTCCTTTTGAAAACTTCGCAGATCTACGGACTGTTTATGGTATATATATACAAATACAGGGTAAGTCACAAATTAGGCCCCACGATTTTTCACCCCCTCCGACAAAATAATGTTCTTTATCAAAGTTAATTAGTATTTAACCGACAAGAAATTGCAATTGCTTAAATTTAAAAACAATTAGCTTAAAATTCATAGGTCCTTAGGTTCTGTAAAAAATCCATAGATCTACGAAAAAATGTTAATTAGAATTAACAAAACACTATTGCTATTTTACAGAAGGATTTCTGCAACAAATGACTTTCTATCAACATAAATTTGCATAAACATCCGTGGTCTGTTGTAATACGTTTCGGCTGCGTCGACTCACTTTAAATGGGAATTTCACAGTTTCTTTGGACTCCTCGTACAAGCTGGGCAAGCTGGTTGTCATGGCGCTGTCGAATCTCCCGTTTTCGTCAACGACGTAAACCAATATCGACGGCATATCTGATGGCGTCGGCGTAGGGTTGGAAACCTCCGGACATGGAGGCTGCCGATGGATCATAATTTGCTTATTAGAAACCGACCTGCAACATGAGAGGCGAGGATATGTTACTGCCGGCGAACCATCTCGCTGCGATGCCAAAGATTAATTACGTGCGCGTTAATTAACCTCAAAGCGGTGTACAGAAACTCGGAATTTGATTATCCCGGGGAGACCTGACCAATGTGATTGGACCTAATTCGAAGGTAACTTTTACGATATCATCTCCAAATTTCCTCATCGTTTGGTTCGTTAATTTGTGGTCACGCTGGTCTTCAACGATTCTTGATTAACGAAAGTTCAGAAATTTTTCGTAGCAAAAATATGAATTAATTAGTTTCAAATTAAAAAAAATTAGTAATTAGTTTCAAAGTTAAGTCGTTGTACATGTCCGAATTTGTTTTAATGTCGAGGTGCAAGGTGCGATGAAAAAGTTGCACAGCATAATGACCTTGACAACATATTTCAAGGCCATACAAATCGAAGCTGCCTCCCTTAAGCGAAAACAGCAGTGCAAATTTAACCGTCTGCAGTCAATACTGAAAACTGACACATAAATGAGGCGATGTGTTCTGCGAATTCGCCTAAACGAAGAAGTGGGGATGCGTGCTAGTTCGTGACTTAAATCAGCAGAAAAGTGGACGCTGAACTGTACGCTATCATAATCACCAAACCTACATAGTAAAATCGTCTGCAAACCGGAAAACCCAGACACTCACCTCTTGGTCCCGGACGACAGGAGCTTGGCAAGTGCCGTCTTCAGCGCGTCGATCTTCGGGCAGATCTCATTCCAGGTGCCCTCCATGAAGATGCGCACCAACGAGGTGATCTCGTTTGAGGCGGATGACATTTTCGTGTCATCTGTCGTCTCCATGGGTATGCCGGAAGCAACTGGAGTGGCCGCGGTACTTGAAAGTGGGATCGCGGTACTTGAAAGTGGGATCACGGTACGCGGACCTATTGGCACAAAGGGGCTGGAGCTAGGGACTGGAGTGGCAGCCGTCGTGCTGACACTCGCTGCGACCGTGGACTCTGTTGGCGTTTCGGTAACATTCATCGTATGCTGGGAATCTTTAAAAACTGGAGCTATGGACTCGTCGGTTCTCGCGGTAACGGTTGTATCGTCGTCGCTCACGGTGGTCCACGAATCCGTGGCACTGCTGGTTCTCAGACTGTCATCCTCCTTAGTCGAACTGGCGACCTCCTCTTCGATGAGGTTCGCTTGAGCCGTCGAGTCATCCCTGGCCTGCGTGGTCGGGTTCATTGTAGTTACCGCAACCGCCTCGTCGGTGACCGGCGACGACCTTTCGTCAGCATTGGTAGTCTCTGTCTCGACGACAACAGAGCTCTCCGTGACTGTCGCGGTCTTCACCGTGGATGTCTCGTTGTCGAAGCCGCTATTGGCCAAGTCCTGTACTGTCGGCACGGTGGTCACGTCATCCGTTGCTTCGCGGAAGTCATCGGTGACGTTCAGGCTCAGGAAAGTGGTCGCCTCTGTTAATCCAACGAACTCGTACTCGATCGCCGTCGTCGACGGCAGCAGCGTCTCGTCGGTGCTCGGAGGACTGGTGACGCCTGACGGGATCTCGTTCGTCCCGTTCGAGTCCAGGCTGCTGGAAGGCTCGGTGACGTTCCCGATGGCGATCCTGTCGATCACGGTGGGTGGCATGGTGACGTTCTCGAGCGTTTTCGTGGCGTCCAGGCCGGAAACAGTCGGGACCGTGAAATTCGCATCGGAAGAATTCCTTTTGATCAGCGGATAGGTCGTTGCGAGCTCCGTAGCGTTCAGCGTCGAGCGGATCAGCAGAGAGCTCTCAGCTTTCGTTTGAACGTCAGGGTTCGAAGGCACGCCGACCTCCGCTTGCGGTTGGACCGTGGAGAGCGAAGCGGTCGTCATTTCGACGACGTCTTCGTGGACGAAGGCTTCACGCTCCGGTTTCACGCTGACTTCCGTGATTCCGTTGCCAGTCATGTCGAAGCTGCCCTTGTCCGTGATCGCGTCGCGACCTTCGCTCCACCGAGGCACGTCGTTGCCCGTGGTCACGGGTTTCTCCTCGGTTTTCGCGATCGTCTTCGGATCGATGGACACGTCGGTTGATTGGTTCGTGGTCGTCTCGGGCACCGGAGACGCGGTGGTTGTTAGAATTGCCCCCGACGGGCGCAGCGGTGTCGTCGGCGTCGTCGAGGACTCGTTGCCAGCTTTCTCGTAGTACGTCGGCTTGAACTGTTGGATGCTGTTCTCTAGAACGTCCGACGCCTCGGTCACAATGAACTTCGCGTCGACTTGGCCCTTGCCGATCGTGTTCTCCAGCGCCGAGGCTTCTTCGGTCGTAGCGTCTACCTGATTGCTACCGTTGTGGACCTCTTCCTTGCCGGTGGATTTCACGTACGGATACGGCTTCTGCTCCACCGTCTTCTCGGTGCTGGCGTCCTTCTTCGTGAATGGCGCGTCGATCCTCGAGGTAGGCGTAGGCTTGGCTTCTTGGTTGGGGAACTCGTTGATCCCAGAGAAGGCGATCGTCCTGCCTCTGGGGACTAGACTAGAAGCCTCCTGCGGTTCTGCGGTCACCAGGATCGGTTTCTCCGTCGTCAGTTTCACTAGCTTTTGCAGAAGCTTCTCGGGGACCTCGCTAGTCCTTGTGGAATTCGGAATCGACCTTTGGCTTTCACTCGTTTCGTCGAGTTCCGGCGTGTTCTTCGTCGAATTCTCGGACCGTCCGTCTTCGATTCTTTGAACCTCGATCTCGGTTACGTTCCCGACTACCTCCACGTCCTCTTTCGGGTCCCTGGTCTTCTGAGTTATGGCACTATCTTCGGAGATAAAGTTAGTGGCGCTCTCGACGGCTCTCGACTGCTCTCCCGAGCCGGTCCCTGAGTTTTTCTCCGTCGAGGTCTTAGAATGGTGGCTGTAGTTGACGTACGTGTCGTTGATCAACGAGATAGGCTCGCTGTTCCCCCTGTTTTCGTCCGTTTCCTTCAGGTCGGACACTTCACCGTTCTTCACCGGGCTCGTGTCTTCCGGCTTCTTGGTCCTCTCTTGAAGCTTCTCCGGCAAGGGAGTTTTGCGCGTGGTCGACCGATCCTCGAGCTTATTCGTTTCCAATTTCGTCGCGGAAACGTTCCACTCGCCCGAAGAGCTAGCGAGCTTCGCTTGCGCATCGGCCTCACGTTCCGGCTCGAGCAGAGCTGCTTCATTGGTTTTGTTCGCTTCATGGTGGCTCGTGTCGCGGATCGTTTCGTTTCTCTTCTCGTCAGGCTTCGGCTCCTCCAACGCGGGCTTCGTGGTTGCAACGATCAAATCGTTTGTCCTGGACAATCTGTTCGTCTCGTCGGAAGTCGTCTTCGTGCTCGAACTCTTTCCCGAAGTTTCGCGAGCGGTCTCTTCGAACCTCGAGCTATCTCCGCTCGAATCCGAGCCCGGCAATCCGTCGACTTCGTTCCGCGGCCTTATTCCTTGATCCTCCAAGTCTTTGTCGATCGGTACCGCCAACTTCTCCCCGTCCCCTGCTTTAGCATCGTTAACAAGCTCGCTAAACACCGGCTCCGCGTCTCTTTTATCCCGTCTATCCAGCGGAACGAATTCCTCCGCTCCGGCTACCCGTGGGATTTTGTTCGGTATCGCTTTGTTCTTTTCGGCTGTTGGCGCTTCCGACGCGTTTGACACGAAGTCTCTGTCGAGCGATAATATCGGCGGACGTTCTAAACCGTCTATGCTAGCTGCGACGGTGCTGAAGAGCAGCAGGAACGTACCTGAAACAGAGGGAGTATTGATCTTGTTAAGATGTTTCTCCACATAGTATTGTTACTGTCGATAATGTAGTGAGAAGAAAATATTGTTTTGATATTAAGCAGAGATCAAAGATAACAGTTACGTGTAAAATTTGATCGACAGATATCATCAACAGAAAACTGGTTTTTATTCAAATAAATTTCAATTTGATTTCCCCGAAGCTCCCACGTTATTCTTGATTTTCGTCTTATTTCAATCCATAGACTCTACCTGAGCCAATTTGTACCATGAATTATGGAACACTCTGTATAACTGCTACCAACACTATCCGGTTATTATTACAGCAGTACCGACTAATAGGCTAAATTAATTTAACAAGATAGATGGTTCGGATAAGCACGATATATTCACGTTCGCGGCAACCAACATATTCGATATTTTATTGAATATGTTTTTAAGATATGCAAAATATGCAAAAGGAAAATACATCTTCGTAACGATCTGATGATGACATTAATTTCTGTACAGGTACCTTTGGAGTATTTATTTTCTAACGAGGCATTCATTTACATAAACATCCGAAGTCTAACAATAAATTTCCATCGAGTTGCGATTTATCAACAACCACTTGTTAATAGAAAAAGTTGCGCACGAAGAACGCATATCGATTAGCATCGACGACAAACGGCGGGTTTTCACGAGGCGACCCGGTAAAACTGAGAGCGCGGCGCGGCAGCGTGGCTGAAGCTTTTAATGGATTTAAAAACCGGTTAACCGAGTATTATTCAGGCAGTTTCATGGCAATTCATGAGACTCTATGATATATTTCGCGGCGCAGTCCACGTTGCGACGGACGCAAAAATGCATATGCATCAGTGTATGTGTGTGTGTGCTCTCGTGCCTCTGAATGCTAAGCAGGCCTCGGGATTATGCGGAAGATTCAAGTATGCGTACCTGATCTCTGCGTATGTGGTCGGGTTACGTGAAAACACGTGCGATTGTATAAACTTCTGTCCCAAGAGCGATAGGCTCGATGTTGTGAAGCGATCAAAATGCGTTTTCGAATATCGATTAATGCGGTACATATGATTAATGACAGAAACTTTACAGTGACCTACAAATGTGTTCGTACACCATTTGAAACTGGACTAAAAATGACTTGAATTTTGTTTTAGATGACTAGAAAATGACTGAAATACTTTTTTTAAATTTTGCTATCGGTTGGAATGACACGAAGGAATTAGAAACTTTCGTTTTTAACTTGTTTTATCTGACGCTATAACGAAAACTTGAAAAATACGTTCTGTAGAAAAAGAAAGAATTGTACTTTATATGTGACTGTAAGCAAAAGATTGTAATCGGGTTAAAATTTCCAATAATTTCATTTTGAAATACAAGCTACTTTTAACAACTGATTAATATCATGATTAATATCTGCAACCAAATATGCATGTTGCAGTTATGAAATATAATACGTTGCGAGATGCTATAATATTGTACACACCTTTTAATACTTAAATAAACTTTATTGATTAAATTAAATATCTACTGGTTTAATATATTACTTTTATATAACATTAGTATATTGATACGGTGCATTACTAAAAAATTAAAAGTACAATGTCTTCGATATTTTTAAAGATTACATTTATGCAGCGTAATTTTTAACACCAGAACTACCGACGATTGACGTATACCTATTTCTACCGGAGGGATCAAAATGAGTTGTTTTTTAAATTAACAAGTCATTTAAAAAAAGACTTAGCATTTTATGCGTTTTTAAATATTTTCCTATTTTATGATCGAAAATGATAAAAGTAAAAATAAACAGAAATTTAAAAAAGACAAAAATAAAAAGCTGAATAATAATAATAATAATAATAGTAATTAGTTTATTAGTAAATAAAATTCCGCAACAATGGGACGAGAAAAAAAGAAAACTGGTATACGTAATTAATTATTTACATATTTTAGAGAAACTCGTACAAAATTTATAAAAAATGAGTAATGATTATTAGAAATGCTACACAAGCAAATCGTTTCAACACCCCTGGTAGTTCTAGTGATAAATGCATTATATCAATTTCATTCTTCGTATAAAACACAGTGTCGCGATCGACATAACTATGTAACTATGTTGCATCAGTTTCCTATTTCTCTCAAGAAACGTTTGCAATGCAAAAACTTTGTAAACCGGTAATTACCGTGTCTATTGTACGTATCTCAAGACTCTTTGGATTTCAATGAAAGATTAATGACTACCTAAAGTGTTGTAATTACGCATGCGATATTTTAAACGCACTTTACGCTCGTGTAAGCGACGGCGTCTCACCTATCACATTCTCACGTGTGGAACAAACGACCTATCAACCGCTGGGAAAACCCGGATAAACGATGATATTGTAAACCAAACAAATAAAATATCAATCAATTTTGCACAATTTTATTGAATATTTGAATTTTAAAATGATTCAATCTAGGAAGAATTCATTTACTACGTTTAATATTTTACTGTAACTTTGAAGTCATACTGATTTATCCTGCTTCGTCAAACTGGTTGATTTTTTGGCAACAACATTATAGTTTAAAAACTTATATTAAAAATTTGTTATAATTTAAATATCTATCGAAAATCTAATACAATTTAAATTTCTATTACAAATCTATTGTAATTTAAATTTCTATTGAAAATCAATTATAATTAATTTTACTGTTTATAATATTAGACCTATTTAAAAATTTAGAAATTAGACAATTTATTATTATTAGGCTGTGGATCTTTGCGCAAAATAAAAATTGTCCAAGACTGTAAGAAACAAAAATGAAACGAAAATGAATTGTTTTCTTTAATCATTTTAATAACAATTATTTAGTAGCTATAATGTTTAACAATTGGAACAAGTTGAAATTAATACATCGATGTGCTTAAATTTTATTAGGTTATCTATTACTTAAAATTTCATCGACTTATTTTTGTTATAAGTGCATAAAATTTACAGTCTACTTATATTCTGTCGAATCGCGTAATTGATTTTTGCGCATTTTCGCACGAATATCCGAAATAAATCAAAACGTGACAGATCAAAATTAAAGAAAAAGAACAGCTGAAAATGGATTGGATTAATCGTTCTTTAGAGCAGTGTCAACGGTTGCTTAGCCATTTAGCAATTGGACCGTGATTTCCTACTCCATTACCGGAACGTGGGGATTCAATCACACCTGGAATATGTAAATCACTCGCATTTGGGATTCCCCAAATTCCAATACCATCCGACCAACAATAAAATCTCGGCGACGGTTATCCACACGCGTTCATTAAAGTCCGCTGTTCAATTATACAATCAATCATTCGTTTGTTACGTGATCAGTCAACTATTTTCCGCGTTTGAATTCAATCCTGTTGGAGACGAGACACGAACTCTAATTACAGTTAATTAAGTTTTCATACAATAGACGGCATCGTGAAAATTGCACAAAAAAGGCGTGTAGAGACTAAATACGGTGCGCACGAGAAATGATGGAAATGATCGCGAACGTCATCAATAAATACGAATTATAAGTCATACATTATAACTTATTTTTATTGCGATTAGCATTAACAGTTTTTATTAATATTTTTATTTAATTATCGATCGTTGTTATACATTTAAAATAATCTCTCTTCTAAGGCCTAAAAATCCTCGTTATATACTCGTTACCAAAATCTTATCGTTAGTTTTGAAAATATTAAATATCTTTTAAAAAGTGAATTTTTTCAAACCACCGATTTTCGCCCGCTAGGCATGTGAGTCCAGCTCGATCTGTGACCGGCAGATACTTTGTTGATTATTAATTTTTATTATGAATACAAATATTATATAATATTATACAATATTATAGAATTATAATAAATCATCTGACAGGTGTTAAATTTTTTCTTTTACAGTTACTGAAATCATGAAAATCGTTCAATGAGAAACTTCTTTATTCAAGCATATATTATAATTACGAGATATTTTGGTGGATACTTATGTAAAATACAAATTTTCTGTATTAATTGCAAGAAGTTGAAACTAAATAGAAAGTTATTCCTTCATTCAATAATTTTAATTCTCTGCAATTAATGTCGTAACACCCTTCATCTAATTCAATACCCTTATCAGTTTTAATTACACATTGCACAACTTCTCCGCAAAGCAGTCTAATAATTGGACTAATTGTAAACAATGTTCTCAAATTCTAGTGCCTTTAGGATTTTGACTCTTTAAGATTATTAGACTACGGCAAAAATATTCAAATGAATTATGTATAAAAGTATTTGTTTATAGTAATGTATTGTAATTTATAATAATATATATAATGTATAAAATAATGTATAATTTATCATAATGTATATAATGACGTATAATTTATAATAATGTATATAATAATGTATTGATTTATAATAATGTAACTCAAATAACAATAAACTATAAATATTTAACTATAGGAAATTGACATACATTGCAGTTACCACAATCAATAATCCATTCACATTCAACAATCTTCTCCTTCTCGCATCTCAACTCAAGCCAAGCCACATTCTCTCTAAACGTCTTTCACACTCACTAATTAACATCTAAACCAAGATCACAATTCACAATAAAACAACCTCACTAATTACAGAGGAATGAGATGTCGGATCACCAACACGCGTTGGAGTAATTAATATGATAATAAAATGAACATGTCATTCAGGAATACAGAGGTAACAAATTTGCATTGACGCAAACAGTTGATACCTGGAACATCACTGATGACAACTCGTTACAAACAAACAGCATTCGATTATTCTACTAGTTAAAATTAATTGAGATTACTTCAGATTTCTGATTATGTAATTACTGTAGACACGAAATTGGTTTCGTAGTATTGTATTTAAATAGGTTTTCTAATTTATACGCATACTACGACAAGAACTAATTAAAATCTTAATAAAGATATTTGTTCTAGAGAGGCTTGTATATTAAGAATTCTATCGCATTCTACAATATTTCGACAT